TCATGTTCCCGGTAGTCCTGGCACTGCAGTGCAGATCACTGCCTACGCGCATGTACGTCGTCAGAGTAGTGCGCATGCGCACAACTGAGAGTAGAAAATAATTATTGTCAAAAGTTTGAAAAGTTATTTCCGACGTGACGCGCAGTTTCACGTCAAATTTGGCGTAAAACTCCAAATTTTGACGTGAGCTGCATGCAGGTCACTCGTACTCGCGTTGTTTTTCGACGAGCGAGCCAAATAACGTAACGCGAGCTGAACTTTCGCGTTACCATGGTTACGTCAGAAAAAACGTGCATTTTCTAAAACCTCTCTACTCTAGAGTCTAGTACCGGTACTGAGGCGGTAGTAGGGTCCAGCGGATTCTGCCGCCAGAAAAATTGGCAGAATTCGGTACTTTTTCTGGTAAGTTTCATGCATGTTTGGTATGTGGAATTGTGGATAAAGACATGGAGCAGAATTCGAGGAATTGCCCGCCATAAGGTTTGTATGGTTCTGCCAATTGTACCGCTTTTGGAGCAGAATCTGCCACCTTTTCGAGCAGAATCCGCTGGTCCCTAGGCGGTAGTATTCTGTAGATCAGGTGCATGGTAGATCTGCAGAACTGGCTACTTGTCCTTTTTGAGAAGGAGCATAAAATGGCATCCGAAAACCAAGGGCAGATGCCCAATGAGGCTGTTATATACACACCTGGTATTGAAGGACCATACATGTACATAGCGCGTGCGGCTTCTTGTCGATTTGGAATAATATTTTAGCAGCCACTAATGCTTCACTGAAAAAGAGCACTTTTTGCCTGTTTTCACTGAAAAAGAGCACTTTTCAGCATAATTTGAGGGACGCGAAAAGCCCTAAGTGTGAATTAAAAGAGCACCTTTGGGAAAGGGCTAGCCACTATAGGACATCTCAAAAAGTTCAGCGTTTGGTTGGGAATTTGGTATTCCTCTCGCATATTATTGTCTTGTACTTCCACAAAGCTCCCAGTCCCAGTCCCAGTCCCAGTCCACATCATGGCAACGATCTACTACATTGTCTGTTGCGTGCGGATGCATAACTTTGGTATGTTTTCTAGAGTCTTTTCATTATAGAAGGCATCACATCTCTCTTGTCCTTCTCTTCAAGAACGTTAATTTCTATCCCCATTACTTATGTAATTTTGGTATACATATCACAACCAGTGCACGACATCCCAACAAGCTGATACAATTGACAAACCATGGACAGCGCTGTTCAAATCTCTTTTTCCATAAATACAGCACCCTCTGGGATTGTCTTCCCCCTAAGATCACCTCCTTGACCAGTTTAATTAAGCGAATTAAAGCAAGAACTACACAAACAGTTCTACTAGCATTGGTTTCACTGCAGTGGAATTCCGTTGAATACGTAGCAACACATCGTATTCTTTAGAAGCTAATGTCTGGCACACTTTTCATCATTAACATGTATTATCCCAATTCTGAACGCTTACAATCATATGCTCAAGCGCAGAGCTCTGCCCTAGACTATGTCTTTTTCTCTTTCTTTGCTCACCTATTGCTCATCACGTCTTTTACAGATTTGGTATTATGGAAAGTTTGGAACCCCCCTCCATAGGCGATAGGAACCGGCGGATTATGTCAGCATAATTATTGGCATAATTTGGTGGTTTAAAATTTGGAGCATAATTTTGCATCCTTTCGTAGGTAGAAGCATAAATATATGATTGTACCACAGTTCTAGTATGTATGTTACACAATTGTGTACAATGCACCTGATCAGTGCTGGTGGTCTGCATGGTAAAGGTTTCGGAGGTCATGCAGATAGTGATTTCAATAAAAAGCAGGGTATAAATCATGGCAATACAGTATTGTATGCTCGAACTCGTCTTCTTCAAAGTTCTTTCTCACCCAGATACAGTACAGTCATGCAGCAGAAGATGCAAGAGAATCAGCCTTCATCAGGTATCCAGGGGCGGACGAGATAGTGACGGGTAGTCCCCAAAACTCCGCGACATGTACACTAGTTTTATAGGGGAGGGGGTTCTGGCTCACCTGACGGTGAGCCAAAATGGAGTCTTTTTCGATCGGCCCTATCGGGCCAATCTCTCAAGTCTCTCCCCCCCCCTTTGAGAGCCGATTGAAAATTTCAAAATTCTGCATATTTTCATGTTCTTTGGGACGTAAGTTCAGTTCTACTCACTCAATCTTCACAATCTTGGGGTTCCTGGAAAGGTCTCCGCGAGAGGAAGAGACTGAGGTCACGCATGATGACCAGGACGCCATATCTCCAGCGCCGGAGAGCAGCGAACTAGCGAAAACTGCTTGAAATGCGTGCAATTTCGTCCTGCTCCAGCATTTTCATTTTTCTTGATCGCAGAGTTTCGATTTTTTCGCTGTGTACCCTTGGAAATACTACCAGTGAAACCCACGCAAATTTGAGTAACTCAGCGCGAGGAAAAGTCTCAAAATTCTCAACTAATAATTACTTTCGCGTTGCACTCCCACGCTTTTCAAGTGCCGCGATCGCGGCTGAACTTACTTACGAGCGATTTATCTCAAGAACCGTTGATCGCAGCGCGTCACGGATGGGTTCTACGGCACGCTGAGAGTTTTCTCTTCGAGGTAGATATTTGGATTGTTGAATTTGAGTTAGTTTTGACCGAGTTACGGCCTGTTGAACTCTCACAGTCGAGTGTGTAGAATTCTACACATTCAAGTATGGGGCGGCTCTCAAAGGGGATAGACCCTCCAACCACTGATTTCCCCCAAATCTAATGTTGGCTCACCCCAATTCCAGAAAAGTGAGTCAACTTGCTCCCTCCGAGAAATCAGACAAAAATCGGAAGTGAGGTTAGTGAGCCAACTTGAGCTTTTTTCACGTATCCCGATTTAATCTATATTAGAGGGTCTGAGGTCTCTCAAACCCGATCTTGACTCACTTCGAGGACTGATTGGGATCGGTCCCTGAGTCAACTTCTGGTGGTCCCGCTTTGGATGAGGATCTGGATAATGGTAAGCTAACTTTGGACCAACTTTCTGTAAAGACATTTCACCATCATCAAATCGGCAACTCATACCCATTTTCCATCTCATCATCAACAATATGATATGTCGGACTCCATCTTCTTGCTCTCGTGATATCTTTTCAGCATACTCAACTGTTTCCTGTTTTAGTTTTGCTAAGGGATTGTTCATTTCCTCATATATCTTTTCTTGTTTTTCTTCATCTTTTTTTATAATCGGTGGTCTCCAACTTGACTTCAGTCCTGCTCTCACATCGGTAAGTGTTTCTTTTGTGGGAATGAAAGGTGTGTTTTTCACCTGCTCATCTTTACAGGAGGGGGTTGATTTCGAAAGTGTGAAGGTCTTTATCCTTCTTTCTCTTTGATATATTTTCTATTTTGTCTGTGAAATACAGCAGCAGGAATGGGGATGAGAAGAAGAAGGAAAAGGAGGTATATCAAGTTGTTTGATTTTCCCGATGTAATTCTTGATGTTGCCGATGTAATTCCCGATGTTCCCGATATTCTCGATGTAATTCCCGATGCTTCCGATGTTGTCGGTGTAATTCCCGATGTTCCCGATGTAATTCCCGATGTTGTCGGTACTGTCGATGTTGTCGGTGGTGTCGATGTTGTAGGTGGTGTCGGTGTTGTCGGTGTTGTTGGAGCTACCGTTGTTGACATCATTCTCTGTGTTGTTGGTATTAACCTTGTTGTTGGTTTTCCCGTTGTTAGCGGTGCTACCGATGCTGCTGGTACATTATCAGGTGGTCTAAGATGCGTAAGCGGAACACTAATCCAGAATGAATTTTCTTCCCAACATTAATTTGGTTGATTGTCAACCCATTTACTTGAATACAAAGAGCTAGAAAAGCAATTCCTATAAAGATCATAAATTTGCTCATTTATTCTTATTCTATCATAAGCCGTTTTCTTGTGCCAGTTACATCAAAGGTTGAGGTTGATCTTGGTAGATTGTTCCCACCAAGCATATCTGGTAATGGCATCGGATCAAATTTCAATCTTGCTGGCGGGTGTGTTTGTAAGTTTCTTGGATCATTTTCAGAGTCAACACTCATCGAACAGCTGGAACGTTTTATGAGATGAACGACAGCACCAACTATGGGGATAATAATCAGAGATAACAGGTAGAGTTTGGGGTCTGTCAGATGAAAATTACCTACGTTTCCTGGCTTCGTCTGATCATAAGGAGTTTGTATAGTGATATGGTCTGTTGGTGGTGATGTTTCACTTGGGATAACAACAGGAGGTTTTGTTGTCAAACAGGGGGCATCCTTATCCAACGGATCTCGAATACAACCAAGGGTAGATGGTAGCATAGTCAACAGTATTAACACATGAAGCATTTCCATTTTTGTAACCACAGCATATCCGACCTTCATCAACAACACACTGGCATTACCAACTGTGAGTGGATACAATATCATTGATGAATGGGAGCTGGTTTATCATGAGTACTGAAAATCTTAACTATAGTTTTCCACTGTATCCAGTCACAGCTGGTAATGTCAGTGTGTTGTTGATGAAGGTCAGATATGCTGTGGTTACATCATTTTCAGTAATGTATCGGATTATTGCTTTTCCCCCCAACACATCTCGATACGGTACATGGAAACGTCTTCTGCTATCACTTGTTTCTTGACCAACCGTAACAGGTTTAATCGAACTTGAAAAGTAAGAAGCCTCATTGAGCGTGCCTCAACCAGTTATAATGCAAAAGGCGATAGTATACATGTGGCAATGGCGCCAATGAAGGTGCTAATAGACAGGTGTAAGATGCATGAGGTGCGAGGGAGTGTAAAGTTATAGCGAACAGGGGAACACTGTTACATCATCCCCCTCCTATGGAGAGGAAGGAGCTTATAACCCAAATGCTCAAGTGGAATAGAGTACAATAAGCGCAAACACGTGCGAGACGAAAAAAGGCTTCGCACTGAAGTAACACCATAAGACAACTGAAACTCCATGCAAATAAAAGTGTATTAAGCTCAAAAAATGTGTA